GGCGAGGTATTGGGGAATTTGCGTGCTTTTGCCCGAGCCCGTTTGGCCCTGCACGACCACGAAACGGCTCTGCGTCACGGCGCGCTCGATCGCGTCGCGCTTGGCGTACGCCGGCAAGCGCTGCTGGAAGCGATACAGCTCGCGCTTGCGCCGGTACTTGTCGTCTTTCGTGGCCATCGAGAACTGTGCTTGGATGTCTTTGAAGACGTGCAATTGGCTCTCGAGCTCTGCAACGGCGGCGTCTCGAGTCGCGTCTGGCGTCGCACGTACGCGGTGCAAGAGACGTTGATGGTCAGCCACTGCCTTGGCTTCGCGTTGACGAAACTTGTCTTCTTCAGAGGACGACCTCACGGGTGCGCGGTCCCCAAGCGACCGAGCTGGAAGATGGACCGTCATCGGCGGCGGTGGTACCATCGCTCGTTGCTGCTGCCTCTGCTTCGGTGCCGCAGGCTGCTGTTCCTGGCGAGGCGCCTGCTGCGTGGGTCGGGGTGCAGATTCTTGGCGTTGCTCTGCCGGCGTTGTGCACTGCGTCGGCTCGCCCGTCGGCGTTGCCGTCCGTGGGGCCGATGCAGCGGCCTCGTGGATGGGGCCATTGACTGGGTAGACGGCGGGCTTCGTGTGGTAGAAAGTACACGCGGCTCCCTTCTTGCATGGCTTGCCCAGGACGACGCTGACACAGCGGATTTTGGTATGGTTCTTGGGGCACGTTTGCTGCACGCAAGCATCGTCCGCGGGACATTTCTCGGCTTGCGGGTGGTTCCACGTGCACGTGTCGATGCGGGCGCAGACACCCTTGTCCTTGCACTCGCCGTTGGCCATGCCGCAAATTGAACAATGCATCGAGATTGGTAGCACCTTGGCAAAATCCAAACCGTTTTTATTCTAGAATTGCAAACCTTCAAAACGTTATACGTGTCCTTTGTGAAAGAGACCGCTTGTCTTGCATCGCATCTGCAGAAATCGAAGTCGAACGACAGAAAAAATACAAGTGCGCGAATGCCTACCGGCTACTTGCGATGGAAGGTCCCTACTGCAGTTGACAACGTTTCGGGCGGGTATTCTCAAGTGTTGTGGTGGCACTGTGGTACGGACAAGGGCGACTGCGTCCTCCTCTAGAGCTACCAGGGCGGGGGACGGACGACGAGATTCTCCGCCACAACCTCGGGGGAGAACCTGCTGTTCCAGCAGTTACAGTGGAACCGGTTTCATCTACAAATTGTATAATGCTGCTGGTCGGGTGAACCTTGGAATCGATAGTCCACCACCATATCCAGTTCAGTGTAAATTATATCTAAATAGACTCACTTCAACAACGTTGCATGCACGCGTTTCACAATCGAAATAATATATTTTTCCGACAAGCATACGTTTCACTACACACAAATAATATTTCCGGCGAGATCCGTTGCTTGCATCGAGTATGTCATCATGCGTGGATTGATTACCTTGGTTTGACATACCGGTATGGCCTTACACGGCGACGGGCGCCCCGTTGCCCTACTATAATAGTACTAATAGACCTCCGAGCCTCCAGAGACCGTACTCGGGCGTTCCTGCGCGAGATCCGTGCCAACTGACGTTTCCGATGGCGGAGATCCAACCTGGAATGCGAGGTACTTCCGAAAAGTTCGGTCCAACTCATTGAAGGCGCAACTTGCACTCAGCGGAGTCGGCGGTGGAGGGAATGATGTGCAGAGTGACCATTCGGGTGGTGCAGTGAGGTTAGCTCCAAGTCATCATTCACGTTGACCGCGACGGCAGCGCGCCTTGCACCGCAGCTACCGCTTGCGTGATGAACGTTGTTACCTTGTTTCAGAAAGTCTCTCCGGGACTCGAACCCGGATCTGTCTGGTGGTACACAGTGTGTACACCGCTAGACTAGAGGCGACAAGAGCCACCACTTCTTGACTACGTGGTGGACGTGGGCATGCCTCCAGCAGCTGCTTGTGCCCCAAAAGAGTTGCTCGTGAGCCCCATCGCTACGTGGGTCAGTAAAGACAAAGGTGGAGCTCCAAGTCGAGAGGACGGCTCGACACGGAAACCTTCCGGCGGAGTCGGCTCACCCGCCGCAGGTTTGACTCGACTGCACGATGACCCACGTGGCTTGGTACGCAACCACTGCAGGGAATTTCCAAAAGGGCGTTCCAACGTGCCCAACGGCGTTGAAACTATTTATCGATCGATGGCGACCGGCTGCCCATTGTTTCATTTGCTGGGTACCGAGCGAGCTATGAACGTGGACCTGCTCGTCAACTGCCGCGACGGAGACTTTATGGTCGACGAAGAGGCCAAGAAGGAGCTTCGGAAGCAGCTGCGTCAGTTCCGCGACAGGCTCGCGACCGACGCGACGCCCGACCTCGGCACGTACCGCAACTTGATGGAAGGTATTGTCTTCTTCGTTGTCAAGGACGCGGTGGGTGTCAGCGTCGCGTCGTTCGACGACGCCCTCGGACGCATCAGGGGTCTTAAGGGGTACCTGATTGGGGCGAAAAATAAGCCCGGTGAAGGCTTCTTGCGCTCGGTTCAATGGGGCATCGAGGGCTTTAAAGTCTTCAAGAACATGGAGACGCACTATCAAGCAGGCGACGACTTGGCCAACTACGTCCCCCTCGTCATGTGCGCCAAACAAAACTGGTCAGCGCTCGCCCTCGTGCTCATGGAGTCGATTGTGTGCTGCCTCGAGTGGCTCCACCGCACGCTTCGTGTGTCACTGCACAACGGAGCCCGTCTGGCGCCAGCTACCTCGGCACGACAGCCAGTAGCAGCAGCTAAGCCCTTGACGACGGCGCCACTTTCGTATACAGGGCCGCCACCAGCGACGACAACTGCAAGTCGCCCTCTTGCAGAGCCACCGCTACCAGCTCCCGCGGTTGCGGCATTAGGGCCACATCTGGCCGCCGCGGCCCAGATCACGGTCACAAGGGTCGCCGAACTACAACAGACCGCCAACGACGTCATCCAAGAGCTGCGGAAGCGGAAGAGCCTCAACTTGCTGCCACGCTACTACCTCCGATGCAGCCGCGGCAGCCAATGTGCGACACCAGGTTGCAACTATGCGCACTCGGCAGAGGACATGCACATCGCGGGCGTCGCCCGCGCCGTCGCTTTGGGCGGCAGGTGGAAGTCAACGAAATGCGCCCATCAGTCCAATTGCCGCTACGACGCACGGTGCGACAACCAGCACGAGAGCGATGACCGAGACGCCATTTTGCGTCTGCAGAACGTCGCGAGGGAGATCGTGCGCACCACGTATGTGCGCCTCGGAGAGCTCTACGTCGAATTTCTCTCAGGCGAGACCGTTGCCGTGGTCTGTCGTGTGCGGGAGGGTTAACCTCGCGCTGGCACTCAAAATATCGGACTATTCCAACATGCTTGTATTCTTATTTCTGCTGTCCAATGGTAAAGAGTATGGTAATGAGGACGGTATACTCGATCCAAAACTACCACAACGCGACGCTTCCAAGTCCAAAAGAAAGCGGGCCCGTGAGTTGGCGCCTTTTCGAGTTGGCCTTGAACTTTAGCTTGCTCGCTGCAAAAATCTATCGGGGTTTCAAACCGTCGCAGATACCCCGATGGTCGCAGTGCGCTTATGTTGACACAAGCCGCCTCAAGTTGAAAGCGCAGTGAATCTCCCCCTATCGCCTCCAGACGATGGGTGTTGCACAGCATAGGAACGAGCCATTAGACCCCGGTGACCGAGATAGGCAAACCGCTGTTGGTATGTAGGATATGCCATCCAAGAGCGTCACGCCATACAGGACAGCATGCCAAAGGAGGCATCGACGGTTTCACGAAACCCGTGCTGGCGTGGAGAAGACAACGACAACCCTTGAGACGCCAACGTGCAGCACAATCTCGGTCGCGTCGGCAGTGCCACCACTGTCAACAAGACGAGTGTCTGCACCACTGCTGATGTCAACAGCTCAGCAAAGTCTCCGTCGCGACTGCGGTGTCACCAAGGTCGACCAAACGGTTGTCGTCTCGACCGACGACATCAACTGGATCACGCTGCCGGACGCCGGCGACATTAAGTCGGCGCTGGGAGCTTCACCGGACCAGTCGACAGAAGAAATAAGGCTTGTAGGGTGAGGCCAACCTCTTTTTTCCGGATACGGTATTCGCAACCGGACGATTGCTCGCTAATATATGCCGATCATGTTACGAGAATGCACAGGAACCTATCCTAGTCACAGCAACAAGGGCAAATATTCGGCAACTCTGCACACTAAAGTTGCGTAGCGGCATCGCTCGCCAGGACAACCGTGGTGTTCTTCTCAGCCACGCCCTCTTGCCTGGAGAACGGTGCTGATTTGCGTGAGTAACAGATGTTGCTATCAGGAGTGCCCTGATAGCCTATCAGCTGACAAAACTGGAGATAAGCCGACCAGCACACTTTTGTGGTGCGGTTTTTGCCTCGCATGTCGACGTGTGAGGGGCTGCAAGGACTGGAGCGTTTGGCTTGGTTACCATGGGCAAAGGATTCGGTCCCTCGACCACCTGACCGCATGAAAAGCTCAAAATGATGCGGTGCACCTCAAAGACACCATATGGTGCCTCTTGTGGCGATCGAAATTTCTGCTCAGCACGCTACGCCAGCCGTGTTTCGAGTGGTCATTTTCAAATTGTCTTCCATGCCCTCGCATTTACTCCTCGCTACGCTCGCGGCCGGTGCCGCTGCCACGACCATCCTCCGCACTGGCTGCGGCGACGTCGATCCTGTCTGGACACCGGTCGACGACAAGAACATCTACACCTCGCTCTCGTACGACGGCTCCACGCTCTGCGCGATCGACACCTCCGCCAACTTTGTCTGTACAACGCCGGCGACGACGCCCGTCACCTGGTTCAACGCCTACGAGAACGTCCAGAGCGGCTATGTCGGCGGCGAGCTCTCCGCCGTCGTCTCGGACGCCGAGTGCTACATCTCAAGAGCGCATGGGCCCTACGATTCCGCCCTCCTGGACGGACCCGCCGTGGCTGTATGGGGCGATAAGGAGACCTTCTGCTTTACGTCAACCCGGTCTACCGGGTGCTCGACCAATGGCAACAACGCCGTGCAGCTCGATGGCAAGATGGTCGACCTCGCGTTGAGTGGCAGAACGCTCTACGGCATCGATGCATCCGGTGTGCTTTCCAAGGGCTCGCTTCCAACGGGTGACGTCTCGACCGCGTCGTGGGTGCCGGTTGCAGGTGCACCGACGCTCAGCGAAGTCTCGGTCGGCGGTGGTCGCGTCTGTGGTGTCACCAAGACCGACAAGACAGTTGTCTGCTCGACCGACGACGTCAACTGGACGACGCTGCCGGACGCCAAGTGGGCGCACGTCGCTGTGTTTGGCAGCACCGTGTTTGCCACGGATAGCAGCAACAAGCTCAGCTCGTACACGTTCCAATAGTCTCGTGCACAACTTGTCTTTAAAACACAGGACGATATGATCATTGTCTTTTCTGAGATTTTCCACTGTCAAGTGGTGGCGTGGATGCCATCGCGCCTCTTCAAGATCGCGATCTTTTGACGTTGCCGTTGCGGCTCATCCGAAAACCTTTGACCTCGGGCCATGGACGTCCTCACCGACGCGCAGCTGGCGGCGCTCAACCAAGCCAAGGTAGTCCTTCATGTTTCTCACTGCTCACCATGTGCGTGACGACGGCGCGTCGACAGGTGGGCATCCGCATGGACAATGAAAAGTACATTCGCGCCCATCCCGAGCTCGACCTCGTCATGCGGGCGCTCGTCAAAGCCGTGCTTCGAGACCGCCCGGCCAACGTCACGGCGTACGCGCATGAGTATTTTGCGCGCGACCTCAGCATCCTCCGCAGCGAGATCACGGGCACAACACCACCACGCAGTTAGTCGCCAATGGCAGAGTCTTCTTATGCTTGCAACCGAAACGCGCCGTCGTTCGTGCGCCAGACGCCGAGGTTGTAGCAGAGCGGGATGAGCAGCATTTCGCGGAGCATCGAGAAGGTCGCGTCAATGACGTTGAGCTTGGAGCCGGGAATTTCTTGCCAGCGCACCGCGACCTCCTATCCATAGCGCCAGTGATGGAGACTTCAAGGTGGAAGAAGAGACCGTACGTAGCATGGAATGCGAAGCTTGTGGGCGAGGTAGAGCAGCTCGACGTCAAAGCCCCAGCGCTCAATATGCAGCGGCGGGAAGAGCAGCTGCGCGGCCTTGCGATCGAAGAGCTTGAAGCCGCACTGCGTGTCGCGGATATCGTTGACGCACAGCGTCGCAACGATCCAGTGGAAGCCGTGCATGAGCACATTGCGCAGCGGATGGCGCTAGGCACGCTGCTTGAGCGATGAATCGATCGAGGAGGAGGAACTGTACCTTGGCCGTGGCCTCGCCTTCGAGATGCGCGCGGCTGCCGCAGACCACGACGCCGCTGGTCGCGTCCTTGGCTTTGGTCGTCCAGAGAGCCTCGAGCTTGGTAAAGTCGTCAATCTTGGTCGCAGCGTCGGCGTCGGCCATGAGGATGATCTCGCCGGACGCCTTGAGCACGCCCATGCGCACGGCGCCACCCTTGCCGTGGTTCGTCTCGAGCCGCAGGAGCTTGAGCTTCTCGACGCCATGGCGGCGAATGTGGCCTTCGACGACCGCGACGGTCTTGTCCGTGCTGCAGTCGTCGACGACAATGATCTCGTACGTGAACGACGCATCGGCGGCCGCGCGGCTCTCGAGGTATGCGATCGTCTCATCCAGCATCGGCTCGATGCGATCTTCTTCGTTGAACGCGGGCACGACGAGCGAGAGGTAGCGCGTCGCCGGCGATGAGAGCGACGGAAACACCAACCTACATGGACATCGCTTCGTTAGGCGGCGGCGTGGCCAGCGCGGGTGCGTACGTTGTGCCAGGCGTCGTCGGGTCTGTGTAGGAGCGGTACTTGGTAGCATCATGCGCGGCTGCGTAGGCCTTGGCCATGGTCACGGGCGCGAAGAACCAGCGCAGGAGCGGCAGAAGCAGAAGGGCGCCGGCGCCGATGACGACGGCGACGACGACCGGCAGCGGCAGCGGCAGCATCGGCTCTGTAGCAACTTTCGACTTGATTTGTCCACGTGGAGCAATAAAAACCCTTGATATTCGATCTATTGCACATGCATTAGGACAGGTTTATCCGAAGGTATCCGGATACGGTGCACGAAATCAGCTGCTGGTATTTTCGGCATATGACTGCCGAAAATAGGGCACTCTGAGCGTCATGCAGCAAGTAAATCCGAGGATACGACGATCGATCAACGACTGCACCTTCTGCGGACATTGCATCTCGACAAACGTGGCCAGTACGTGGTGCAAGAGACGCTCGCCAAGGTGGGTCGTCTCATTTACGTTCCAAAGCTACCTCTACTAAAGGTGTCGACCACCAGTGGCCTTGTTCCAGTTACGCTTAAACTAGCACGTCCTGCCAACGTCGGCAACACCACGCAGTATAATGTGGACCCCGCGCTGACCGCAGTGTTGTTGCAGTCGACGAGTTCGCGAACGTGCTCGTATATTCAGCTGACCAAATCCCAGGTTGTGCGGTGCGTCGACCAGTTTGGCCACATGCGCAGCCTCTCGCACAGAAGCCTCTCGACGGTGGTGCTGCATCGCCTTGCGATCGTTGTAGTAGTGGCGATTATAGGAGCCTAACGTACTACGTAATTGGGCTCCCCAAAGGATTAAGGACACTGCTCGTAAACAATATGCGGCTCCCAGCGACGTCACGAGTGGATGTTCCGACGTGCGGTGGTTGAAAGGCGCTCGTAGGTTTCCAGACTTGAGCGCACGCGCCATGTCGCATGTGACTCTTGTCCGCGGCGGTTGGATGCTGCTGCCGGGACGAATTGCATGCCGTGTCCTGGCTTTTTCACCACCAATGACAATGCAATGGCCATCTCCCCTAGTAACAGACAGCGGAATCTGGTAGAGCTCGATTATCGAGTTCGGATAGCGGTTGAGAGGTATTCCGAGTGTCCCATCGACTAGTACAGTACCGGTATGGTGACGACTGCACCACCACGTGGTGTGTTGTCGGCCACCTATTTTGAACACTGGCAGACCGACCCGCCATGTTGACCCGAACGCCAATTGAAATAGAAAGATGGTGAGCCCATTCCACCACTTTTTGGTTGTCAAATAGCGAGTGCACAGCTGCGTGGTTGGTCGACCCGTGAAGCCGCCACGTTGAACTAAAAATGGCACAGACAAGTCCTTGAGGACTCGCACGTCCAACGACCGATGGCCGATCGCGGTCCGCCATCTTGTCGGGCGGGTAATGCTGCCAGACACACAGTTTGCAATGGCCATGGTTCTCGCAAGCCTCCTCCTTGTCACCTCGCTTCCGCTCGTGATTGCAGCGACGGGCAACAGCAGCACGCATCTCGTGCCCTACTACACGGACCCGGCGACGTACGCGGCACTGCTCCAAACGTCGTCGTCGAGGAGCTGCGCCTTTGGTAGCTTCCCATGCCTCGATGGCAGCACCGCGTGCATCGATCCGCTCGGATTTGCTGGGTGTGTGTTTGACACCTTGACCACCATCACCCTCGATACGATCGCCCCAAGCTTTTTCAGCATGGTACAAGACTTTACCGACGACCCGGTCAAGTTTGCAGTCGATTTTGCCAACGAGACCGTCACGTCGGCGGTCAATAATCTGATCGAGTGCCGCAAAGTCCTCAGTGGCGAGCCCCCGAGCTGCTCCCAACTCGCTTCGTTCAAGTCGTGCGTCGACACGGCGTCTCTCACGCTCTCGGTTGCCAAGATCGGGGCCAAGGGGCTGGCTAAAAAAGCTATCAAACGCATCGATGACGGCCTCGGCAAGGTATCGAAGGTCACCGGTTTCGTCAACGACCAGTGCAAAACGGGCTGCAAGACAGGCGAATGCAGCGGTGAGTCGTTGGAGTACCGCGAGCCTCCTGGATGCCAGTGCAAGTCGCTCATGCTGGATGCCAGAGACCAATATCACTTTACGACGACCCCATCCGACTGCGCCACCAACGCCGCTCTCTTTGTGATCGACGAATACGGCGACAAGAAGCTCGACGATAAAGTTCACTTTCCATACATGGGCTGCTACGTCGGCACCGAGGACGAGCCGTCCGACTGGCGCAATTGCTCCAAAGCGTACGCTTCCAGCATGTTCCCGGGGGCAGTCTTTGTTCGGTGCGTCGACCAGTTTGGCAAGCAGCGCAACCTTCAACGAGAGCAAGCCCAAGGTGGATCGAAGGCTGGGTATGGAGCGATTGCAGTGCTCATTTTGCTGGGGCCGGCTGCGTACTACTTGCACAAGAAGAGCGAGAAAAAAGAAAAGCAGACGACCACCGATGTCAAGCCCACGGAAGGCTCGGCCCCACACGTCGCCGCTTCGGTAGACCCGACTCCTCCCCGAGTCTAGTCTATATATATGCATTTTACTAGAGTACATATTTTCACTTTACCAATTTGTTGCTGAGCCGTTGCTTTTGATTTGCATCCTCGGCCTTTTCCCAGCTAGTGGGGCTCGTTGGCGTACGCAGTTTACCGACGCACCTTGTTAAAAATGGCATGTGCCACCTTGTAGCCGCCAGCTGGCAGTAACAAGCATCCCCATGGCACGGTCCGCCGAGGACGACGTGCGCCTCGGGAGGAAGAAGATCTTGTACACGCGCCTCTGGTGGCTGCTCTTCCACGTCGGCGACTACGTCTGGCTCGTCTACAGCGGGACGTGGGCGGCGTACTTCACCCGGCAAAGCGGCTACGACGTGGCAGGCGCTGCGACCGTCATTGCGATCGGCGTCGGCAGCTTTGCCGCCTACGTGCGCCTGCAGTGCTCGTCGCCCGGCTTTGTCCCGCTTGCGCCGACCGCCGACGCTCCCGAGGCGTACGACACGGATGTGCTCCTCCTCGAGCACGGCCCCGAGTCGCCGGTCGTGGATGGGGCCAGCGGCATGGAGCTGCACTACTGCCGGCGCTGCCGCGTGCACCAGCCTCTCCGCGCCAAGCACTGGTACGCCTACCACCTTTAGCATGCATCGTTCGAGGCTCACAGGAGGTAGCAAGGACTGCGGGCGCTGCGTCGAGCAATACGACCACCAGTAGTTCCCTCGCTGCGTTACTGGAAAGTCGATCTCATGGAGGTGTCTCTAGCTGCGTCTGCGCTGGCGTCTGCGTCGGCCGGGACAACCACCGCATCTTCGTCACCTACGTCGTCCTGCAGCTCCTCGAGGCCATCTGTGCGCTGGACATTGCCGTCTATGGCTTCTCGATGCAGGAGAGCATCCAAGCCTGGTTCGTCGTCAACCTTCCGTACATCGTCGTCTACTGTTGCAGCCTCTTTACGCTGCTCATGGCGATCCCGCTGACCTGCTACCACATCTACCTCGTGCTCACGAACCAGGTTCGGTCGAATGCCACGACAATATTGTCTTACGGTGTGTAGACGTCCTGGGAGCACGCCCGGCGACGCCAGATCACCTATCTGCGCGACCTCCCAGACGACACCTCGCCCTTCTCGGCCGGCTACACCACCAACTGCGTCCGGTTTCTCATGCGGGGCGAGCGAAGTACGTGGATGGGTCTAACGGCCGCCGACCTCAACCTCGACAGCGATGACAGCGACGAGAACGAGAGCAGCAACACCCACAAGATGGCAACCACCGCCGAGCGCCGAGCGTAGACACGCAATCAGCTACCGCCGTTGAGAGGTCATGAGGTTAGGAGGTTAGGGTGCGGCTATATACATACTAGTAACTAGTTAGTGGACTTCGGTCTTGGTCGAGACCGCAATGCCTTCAAACATGTCGCCGACCTACATACCGCCATGCATCCTTTCAACTCGATACATTGAAAGAAAGCGTACCATTTGCATCGTGTTGGGCAGTGTGTTGGCGGTAGCAACACCGATGAGCGGCGACGACGGCGCCTGCAGCGACGATGTCGGGCTCATTGCGTCGTAGAAATCGTCTGACGCTGCGCTGTCGCTCGGACCCGGCTTGGTGGTGAGCACAGGAGCCTCCTCGGTATCATGCATCTCGGTCGGCGACCGCTCGGGCGTGTGCTCTGTCGTCGGTGCCGGTGTAAAGTCGTCGGGCAGCTCGACCGGCTGCAAGCTCGCGTACTTGCCGATGACACCGACCCCAAGGATCTTTTCGTGGATGAAATCACCGATCGCCTGGCATGGAATGAGACGCCACGCCGACAAGAGAGAGACAAGGACGTACGACCGAGTTTTGCATGAGCAGCTTGGTGCATTTGGTGCCATTGTTCATCTGCAGCTGTCGAATCGCGGCTTCAAAGCTCATGCCGGCAATCACAACATCGTTGACAGCGACAATGTGGTTCTCGGGCAGCACGTCGATCCAGTCAATGTCATCGGGCGACCCTTGCACTACATATCTGTGAGGTCGATCCAGATTCTAGATTCTAGATCTGAAAAAAAAGTATACCCAGGCCAATGCGCTTGAGCGCGATCGTGGGCTGGTCGAAAAACTCGTACTCGGTGACCGATTCGACTTCAACGACGCGGTCGTACAGGTACAGCTCGTACTGAAACACTTCGCCGACCGACGTTTGGACCGACGCCGTGCAGCCGCTGGCGACGACGACACGCGAGATCGCGTTGATATCTATGAATGCATCAAGTTGATACGACGACTGCGTCGACAAGGATGCGTACCGCACTTCACGTAGACGAAGCGGTAAATGCACGGCGGCGAGCCATAGTCGCACTTGAAGGCCACTTGGCCGTTGGTCCCTGGAGGCACGAGCTGCGTGGGCCCGACGTCGATGTTTTGGTCGCCTTCTTCGTTGTAGATAAGCAGCTGGACATAGTCCTTGGGCGAGTGGTTCTCGGGAATGTCAAACTCGACTACAGAAACCATGAGTCGATGGACGATACGGCGCAGATGCTAGCGTACCGGTGACGACCGAGCCCTTCTCGAGGTGCGCGCCGAGGCGGATCTCGGCGATACCGCTCGAACGCAGACTCAGGAGGCTCATCTTGTACGACGTCGGCTCTGTGACGCGAGTAAGGACGGCGTGGAGGTCTTCGGCGTGCTGAATCGAGTCGGGGTACCCATTGTGCAGCAAAAGGTCCTAGTGCATGTCGTGGGCATCCCATTCTCGCCACCATCGCCGTGGTCGTTATACCTGAGGAAGAAGGCCGAGCGCGTCGCGCGTGGGCATCGCGCCGAGCTGCAGCAGGTGCACGATCGCCACGTCGTTCTGCGCTTGGCACGCGTGGTGCAACGCCGTCCAGCCCTTCTCGTCGCGATGGTCGAGGTTCGCCTCTTTCGCCACGAGCATCTTGATCATCTCGAGCACGATCTGCTTCTTCTCGTGCTGCACCGAGTGGGCGGCGGCCTTGATCGCGTCCGACTCGAGCGCCTGCGGCGTCGGGCTCGGGCTCTTGACCTCCGGGTCGCTCCCAGCCGCGACGAGGAGCGCGGTCCGGCCATCCTCGTCGGCCTTCTCGACGTCGGCCGTCTCGGAGGATGCGAGCAGCGACGCGAGGCCGTCGAGGTCGCCGGTCCGGCAGCACTCGTGCAAGGACGCGTTGTTGCCCATCTTCCCGTGGTCGGAAATCTTCGAAAATGCCACGTCGGGGCGCGACGGACAGCATATTAATATTCCGTTTTCCATCACTTCATATCTTGACATTGTATGCAAACTGTGTCGGATCGCGATTTATTATTATGCGACCCGCTGGAAATTCGTGCATTTCAACCAATCAGCGGCTAGTTGAAGTCGCCGTCCATCTTGGTGCAGAAAGGCCATCCACAGTTCGCGGGATCGACACCGGTAGCTACGTGACGACGAGAAACGTGGACACGCGCGTCCACGTTCACGCGGCTGCAATGCATCGATCGAGCTTGGACGACATTTCGATCGCAAGGAGCTCGCGTCGGCGTCACGCCGGCACCTCGCATTGCCTCGATGCCATCGACACCACGTGGCCACGATGCAGCCTCCGACCACCGACCATCCTCCCCGAGCCGACACGGTAGTATACTATCTCGACGTACCCTTGATAAGAGACACCCTAGCACTGCGCGATGCAAGAGAGTCGGCTCGGTCAACATGGCGCCCCAAGCGTTACGGCACGCGCCATCACAATGGAGCGTGCAGTGGTTTCGGTACATGAGTCGGCGTAGCATCTCGATGGCAACGGCAGAGCAGGCCTACCGCGACCTCCTCACGACGGTCGAGGCGCAAAAGGCGGCGACGAAGAAGGCGTCGGAGGCGCTTCTGGAGCAGTCGGCGCTCACGACGCTCGTCACCGAGCTCGACTGGCTCAAGAAACGCAAGGCTCGGGCCCATGTGCGCGTCCAGAAGCGCTGTGACCACCTCAAGGTGCTTCTTCTTCTTTTGTTGGCTGCCATTTTCAACACTGCCTGCGTAGCATCTCCGGCTCTGGTTCGACTCGTACGACATCGACAAGTCGGGTGGGATCTCGGTGCAGGAGCTCATTTGGCCGATGCTGGTCCTCGGATTCGCCAACACCCTCGCCGAGGTAGATCCTTGGCTTGCTTCCAGAGCACTCTAGTAGTGTACATTGGTATCAAGGTCAAAGCGCTCCTCGTTGCCGCCGACAGCGACGGCGACGGCCAAATCGGCTTTGACGACTTTGTCGAGATTATGAACGCACACGATACCAACGGTAAAGACAGCGTCCACCCGCTCGAGAAGCTCGTGCACCTCGTTGAGACGGGCCAGCTCGGGGTACCCCCTACTTGATACATTGAAAGATTGATGCATTTGTTATGAATGTGTCAGGACCGCAGTCTCTCGCTGCAGACACTCTTGCCATCGTACCAGCGCCAGCTCATGCTTTCCGCACTCATGTCGTACGGTGACGTCGCCACGACGCGGGCCGGGATGGCCGCGCGGGAGGCGAACGAAGCCGTGCTGAAACGAGCTACCATTGCCCTTGGCGCGTCCAAAGACCTTGGTAGTTCTTTCCAACGAACCCCGCCGTTGCCGCGCAAGAAGGCGTCGGTGGTCATGCCCAAACTCTCGGTAGCCTTTGGCGCCATTTTATGGACAAATGAGGTCCAGATTAGGTGCTGAGCCCGGTCGTCGTCCAGCGCCGGCTCGTTTACGAGAGCAAGAGGGAGCGCCGTGCCCATGCGTCGGAAGCCAATACGATGCATCTCTTCCTCGGTACGACCCCATCCCCATTGTCCGTCCGTTCTGCTGGCATCTTAGGGTAGTACTTGCTAGAAAACATGCTAGCGACCGGACCGTCCGACGCAGGTCGTCGGTCGAGTGCCGACGCCGCGATCCAACCGTCTGCGCGCTGAAAAGTACATCTTTTTCCAGTCCTCATCCCAGTCGTATGGTGCATGTGGTGCATACATGGGGTTGGGGTTAAATAGCAGCGTAGCCGTCGCCCGGTGCTTGGACGCGGTGGTAGGTGAGATCGAGTGCCATCAGCGGCGTCTCGGTCTCGCGCAAGCACGCTTGGCGCTCCTCGGTCGTCATTGTCACAAAGTCGGCGTCCGGCGTCACGCTCGAGGACGCCAGACTCCACTGGAACTGCAGCCGCGTTGGCGTCGTCGCGGTCATTTGGACGCGGGCAATGTAGGCCGTCGACGCGTCTTGGAGCGGCCAGGCGTAGAACGTGAGGCAGATCACTCCTGGTGATCGCACGTGACCCGTGTAATCGCCGTGGAGCCACGACGCACTCCACTCACGCAGCGTGTTGGCGCCGTTGGGAAAGACACGGGCAACGTGCAGTCGGTCGTCCAGGATGTACGTCGACCAGATGGTCGAGTGAATCGCGAGGTCCGAGCGCACCTACGCCAGGCGGGTCCAGGCGACTTGTCAAAAGACAAGAGAGGTGCAGATTACGTGCAAGACGTTGTGGACATCGAGGTGCATTCGAAAACAGTACGCCATTGTGACCCATTGGAGCAATGGCAGCACGGGGGCGGGGACACCTGGGTGGTGTGGCGGCAAGATCGCGCAGAGCCAGCGCCCGTCAAACGGCGACAATGGCTGGTGCAGCGGCCATGCTTCTTGGGGCTGCGCCTTGGCCTACGTGTCGTATCGTTTCGCATGCTAAGAAAGGATAGGGTTAGGGTCAACCATGTAGAGCTCCCGCAGCTGCGCGACAAACGGCTCAAACAAAGACGGAGTGCTATGAAGGTGCGGCGCGACCGCCTTGACATCGAGCACGAGCTGCGTATGCGAGTCGTAGCGGGAATAGCGCTGCAGCCACTGGTCGATGTAGGCTGCGAGAAGCGTCTTCCACGCCTGGAACAACGTCGTGAGCCGGTCCTTGTCCAAGAGACAGTCCGCGTCGTCGAGACAGAGCGCTTGCAGTTGCTGGACGAGGCTGGGATCAAAGAGTGACGTCGCGACGCCCAAGCACGTGGCTTCGAGCGTCGTCACGGGAACTGAGAGGCGGTCGACTAGCGTCGTACCGTTACAACCCTTTTTGAATGCCAGAGACGACGGGTGTACTACCCGCCAAGGGCAGAATGCGCGCGTGGTCGTCACGGTACATCTCGGTTGACAGCATATGGAGACGCGCAAAGAGCGGATGTAGCAGCTGCGACTGCACATGGCGGCTCACGATGGCGCCGCCGACGCCCGGTGGCAGCGCGCTCACAAACGCCAGAATGACACCCAATGACGCGTCAATGGAAGGGGAAGCGGGCGGCGACGGCGGCGTTGGTCGGATGGCGAACGCGGGTGACCGCGCCGACGCGACGACTTGCAAGACGGCGTCATGGCGCCGGACAAAGAGGTACGCCTAGTACGGCCCCGATGCAGCTGCCGGAAAAATGACGGTAGAAAAGGTCATTTCTGTACCGTCAACGTCGCGGCGGGCCACGCTTGGGACCACGAAAACGACCAGTCTCGCGTCAAAGGCACGTATGTACAATGCGCCAGCCCCGTCGCCTGCTCCATTTGTTTGAGAGAACTGGTGCGATCAACGATCCAAGGGACAATCTACCTGGTCGAAAACGTACTCTTGGCTCGGCAGCCACGTGCCGGTCGGATGCGTCGTCGACTGCACGTCGTCGACGATGCATGCACAGGGGACTTGGTCGCCGACACGGAGCGCGTTGGGCTCGCTCGCCGCGGGTTCAAACCGAAGAAAGACCACGTGCTGGGCGACTGCGTCCGGCGTCACGTTGGCAAGTGCAAACTCGACGGCGAGCGCACCGCGCGGTGTCTGCGTAGGACACTCGTGCGGAAACGATCTACAAGCTTGCAAGCGTCAGCCCGTACTAGTACAGCCATCGACGAATAGCTACGGGAGGACCTAAGCCACGGCATATATGAGTCGTCGTGGCCACAGTCATTGAGGGTGTACGATGGGTCGGGGCGGCAGCGTGAGCGGTAGCCGCCTACACAGTGTCGAACTCCTGGATCCGAACTCTAGTGGGCTGTACGTAGGGGTGTCGTAGCCGCCTTCAAACGGCGTTGGCCGTGGACAGACGCATGACGGCATGTAGAATTGCAACGCAGGCATCGCGTGCGTGGGTACTGAAGTCGTCTCACGTGATCGAATTAGGACGAACGGGGAAGAGGGGGCGTCGTGGTACCTGCGCGTTCCGAAGCAGAAGGATGAGTGCGATGACCAGTCACGGAGATGACACGCGCGCCTCGCACCATCTGGATCTCCCAAGTTGCACTTGGTCCTGTCATATTTGAGACCTAGGACTTGACTTTTGAAAAAATCCAAGAGTACGTGACAGCGCCGAGTCATCAGGATACGCGGCCGCGGACGCAGACCACCACCACGTCGCTTCTACAGCAGACACGCGTGCAGCGGGCCGTGATGACTGTACAGTAGAAGCAAGGGCTCGCGCGTCTCGCTACTCACGCGCCGAGCAGCTAACGGTCGTTCTTTTTGCCGTCTCTCGGCGCCAATGGAGGTGGCCTACGTCATCGCCGCCGGCCGTTGGACTGCACTCGTCCGCCTTCTCTACCGCATTTGTGCGTTTACAAATCGGAATATGCGAATAACGTCAACGGTCGTCGTCAGAAGTGGGGGCGTGTGGTACTCTGCAAACAAGGCGATTCGGCGTTCGCACCTGGCGCACGTAGACAGACGCAATATGCATGGGTTGTTTCAGAACGCTCCATTTTGATGCCACCTTTGCGTGGGTTCGACACCCGACGCCGTAGCTCTCGATCGCCCCTTCTCGATGCCCATCGTCTGCCTCGGCGACCATGAGGGGGTCGTGACAGCACCCCTTTTTCGGAAACACGTCAGTCGGCAGCCGTCAAATTGCCATTTTCTTTGGTCGGCGACAATGGCATCCATGACACCCTTACCACGCACGGTCTCGGTCCCTCTTGTCGCAGCGGTCGCTGGCGCGTGGTACTGGGCGCACCCACCGAGCGTGCAGTGGGCCTCCTTCTTTGCCGCCGCGGGCTTCTCGTGCATCGAGTTCTCATGGTATGCGACGACAACCGAGGCGGCCAACGGCGACCTCTCGTTCACGCCGTTCGCCGCGACCTGCCGCCCGGGACACACGACTTGGGCGCAGTTCTGGGTAAGTTGATCTTGGTGTCTTTGAATCAAGCGCTTGACGCTGGCGTAGGCCAACGTGCTGTATACGCCGCTGCTGCTTTTCACGTACCGCGCGTGGCTGCCGTCGGCCTTTCTGCGCGTCGTTCTCTTCCCGCTCAACATTTGGCTCCTTGAAATCGTCGAGGGCTACGGCCTCATGCTCGTCTTTGGCCGCAACATTGCCTGGACGTACAACACGCCGGACGCCTACTTTCACAACAATATCCGCACAGGCTTTGCGGGTCTCTGGTTCCTGCTCGGCCTCGCGCTCGAGGTCGTTGGCTACACGCTCGTGGATGGGCTCGGCGGTGCGGCCGCGCAAGCGCTGCCCATCGAGGTGGCTGTCGCTGGCGCCGGTCTGCTCCATGCTGCGCGGTATTACCACCGCTAAGATACACCCGCGTCCCACCACGCTAGTCAGAGGTTCGTGATTGCCAAACGATGACTCGACTAGCTATTACTAAGCGAACGCCGAGTATAATCGTTCGGGCCGTCCTCATATGTCTGCGACGCCCAGATGTCGAGTCGTGTTGCGGTGCCGACTAAGAAATACACCCGCTTGAATCCATGTATGCGGTCAAGGATCATTGGCCAAATGATGCAAACGTCTCTCTGATTGGCGCAGAGGAGCCTCCCTGATGCGGCTCCTTGGGCACATGCCTGCATTGCCGTCGTTGAAAAGTTTCAATTATAAGAGGAATAAGCATATTCAATTTTGTCCAAGGCAAGAGCCCGGAACAACGAACGTCGAGCTGTGGATGCTCATGTAACCCTGACTCGTCCGACGTGTACACTGCAGTACCGGTATGTATGATTGTCCGACCGTCGTCGTCTCTGGACGCGACCCCGTCGCAGGTCTTGATGGCTGCCACATGGGGTCGAATAACGTCGGGAGATTGGGATGATTCGTCTTCAAGGATCGCATTTTCAAAGGCCGGACGCACTGGCTGCTGATCCGTGCGCGCGTCTGTGCACCAACGACGTCGTCGATGGTCGGTGGGACGTTTGGTCAAACGCTATGGTCGGCGACGGCCATATTGCTCGGAGAGGCGGTTGCAGAGATACTGTGCCGCCACCGACTGCTACGTTGTTGCTGAAATGCGTGATTTCCCCTGTATTTTTCACTGACATCGCCCTTCTCCGATGACTCTAAACGAAATAACGTCAACAGCGGCGTCAACAGCAACATCCTGAGAGACGTTTGCGCAACCACTCGCGTTCTGATCCCAGCGTCGCTCAACGTTGACGGGTGGGAAGCTCGACAGCCGTCTTTCTAACCTCGTTGGTACAGTATTCTAGAATTCCAATATTGTACACTTTTGAGTCTCGTATTATGCTCTTGTGACCAAGGAAGGGAATGGCTGTTGAGAAATCGGTGCGGATTCCTCAAATCGTCCGGCATCGATCTTTTTGGCCAATGGGCAAACGACAACGATTTTGGCGCGCGCGGATTGGCGAAAAAGTAGCGAATGGGATCGCTTCCTCGCTTGCAACTCCAATTTTTGGACGAATCACGGACCGCCAATGATGATGATTATGGCGCTCTACTTCAACGTGCTACCATCTTCAGCGGGTCGAAGTCGGAATCATTCGCATGGCCACGCTGGCGACGACGTGGCATGCGCTGCCGCGCTGGGTGCACCTGCTTCTGCTTGCCAAGGCGTCGGACGGGACACTCCCGTCGCACCTCGCGACCGTCGTGCGCGTCGCTGTCTATGGCACGACGCCCCGCCGCCATCCGCACGCATCGATTGCGCCGGCGCGGCCGCTCGCCGTGCTGCCGCCGTACCACTCGACCGTTTACAACGCATGCGCGCAGCCACAGTCGCACATCGTACTCCTTCACGGCTGGGGCATGAGCTCCAAGGACTGGGCGACGACGGCGAAGAAGCTCGCGCACCACCACGCGGTGCTCACGCTGGACTTTTACGGCCATGGCGCATCCCCGTACCTTCCTCAGAACGACATGCACGACCCGAACGTCCTCGTGCACCAAGTCCGTGACGCGATCGAGCGCGCTGGCTGGGCGACGGCGCAGGTGACGATCGCAGGTATCTCGATGGGCTCGGCCATCGCGCTGCGCTACAGCCAGCGACATCCCGACTCGGTGTACGCAACTCCTTTAAGGATCCAACGCCTGATGGATCTTGGTGTATTAGACGCCGCCTCATTTTGCTCTGCGGCGCCGGCATGGCGGTCAGTCGCTGGTATGCGCTTACAGAGACCATGTCCCGCTGGAACAATGCGATGCTGCTGCGCATCCACGAGCTCAACGCGACGTCGCCGTTCTGGCACATGGTCTTTCACCGTGTGTCGGTGCTGCGGGCGATGATCAGTCATAGCTACCTCACGCGCCTCACGCCAGAGTACGGCGTCAACCAGGCGACGCTCCAAGCCGAGACGTTGGCCAAAGTCCACGCGTGCATTTGGCCCATGGTCGACGTCCTCCACCCGCTGCAGCTGGAGTTGTTTGACGAGGCGCCGCAACACGTACAGATCGTACCGGGTGTCGACCATGCGCTCTTTTGTCTCTTGATTAACGACCTCGCACTGCACGCCAAGCCCGAGCTGTGGCTTTAGGAGCTTCTTTTTTTCAAATTTGTTGCGAGTTGATGTCCTCTAGTCTCCTCGTTGTCTTGAAGTAATGACTCAGGGGTCCAAGGTGTGGGAAGTCAACTTGCAGCAGAGCTATGTCAAGTTGAGAGGGTCAGGCACTACTACCGCGCACGGAGGTAGCACGAGGTTCGAGTCCTGGTATGATTGCTCGTTTCAAGTGCACCCGCAGCACAAGGTACCGAGTGAATGCATGCTGATAAGCCCACCAACGTTCCACATATCGAGTCACAAGACCGACAAGCGTGACGACATTGCTTCGATGTGCCTGGCGGTGCGAACACACCACATGTGCATCGTCGATGGGCTACCGGTTGCAACTACCAGCGCCTTGCAGGTGTTCTCAGTCGAACGACTCATTGTGTACATCAACTGCTGGCGTTTTCTCGGAATCGCTCGCGCCGTTGACGGGTTGGTGGCGGCCAACGGCCCTATAAATACCACCGCGGGCACGGCTCCATCCTCGCTTCATCTTTACTTTCAACTTATAACCAAACGCCATGTCGATCCTCCAGCGGGCAGCCGACTACTGCGCGTCTCCAGCGTTTGAACGCGTCTTTGAGAAATTTGCCGAGTGCGCTGCTGACGCTACCCCCGACGTCGCTCAATTGAGAACGTGTAGGGAACACGCGTCGGCGTTCTTTGATTCGGTCGACTCGGACGACGTCGAGCACAAGCACGAGTACAAGGAGCTCCATGACGCGTACCTCAAGATTTTCGAAGACCGGCTCCAAGGTCGTCTCTTCTTGGTCGGACGCGGAGAGATTGAGGTGGGAATTAGGCTTCCTCGAGGACGAAGGCGGGACGACGGCGCAGTTTTACGCGGCGTGCAAGGACATTCTCGATGAAAAAGACGACCATGGCGAGTACGCCTGGTTCGTCAACCGTCTTCTCGCCTCGATGGAGTACAAGCTCTTTTATGGCCTCATGCGCAACGAAGCCCGGCAACAGCTCCGTCGTCGCAAGTAAAAACATGAAAAACAGATGACAATTATGTACACATCCTAGCACTATCTACTATGGACACTGTAGACTTCTTGCATGAGGCTACATTACCAGGTAGAACGAGCAAGGAAGCGAGAGAGGCATGGCTGGAAAGGACAGCGGTCGCCTTGCCAATACCACATGAGCGATCGATGCGCCGATATTGAAGCTCGCCTTTTGTCAAATTTGTGGGCATACAACATGAGGAACCGAGTGCGTTCGGGTGATGGCTCACCATTGTCTATATGCAGATTTTCGCCTCCATGAGGTGCCAACGATGATCTCCAATCGCACCAATCGCAGTGTACCAACATCCGGATAAAACTGTGCCCCGGTGTATATCATTGTCAACAACAATTTCTTCTGCTGCAGACCTCGCACGAGGACGGGACGTAGCGTTTCGTACTCCCCACAGAATCTTGTATCGATGTGCCAAGTTGCAGCGAGTTGGATTTTGAACGTGATTTCGGCGACCGAAAGCCCTGCGGCGGCGACTGCGACGAGCGCATCGGCGTGGATTGGTCGAAAAAGGACAGCAATTAAAACCAATGAAACCAATTAGAAAATGAATTCTATTTTATAGTGGTTTCAAGCCATGGGACTCGTCTTTTTTAATCGGACCAATCTCGAGTCCAAGCCTATCATGCGAGCAAGGGACAGGCTCCAAGTTGGAGCCTCGGATTTGTTACGTCCATACGTCCATGTACAGCTATACATGTTCGTCTTGCTGTATGAGGTGACCGCGCAACGCGCAAGCCGAGGGCTTGCGAGAGATGAAATGCTGGAAAGGACAGCGGTGGCCGTGCGAATGCCATATCTAGCCACAAATAAAGCACCGTTGGTGTCATTTTATAGACATGCCACATTTAACCACATTTACGCGCTGGCATTTTTGGAATTGGCAGGCATGGCGACGACGACGGGGTCGGGGACGACGTCGCCGACGGGACGCAAGCGTCGGCGCGAGAGCATCGAGGTACGCACGTCATGGACCATGCGCGTGCATCTCACGACCGTATGTAGGCGCTCGAGTGCACGATCTGCTGCGAGTTTTGCACGACGCAGGGCGGCCATCGCCTCGCGAGCCTCGCGTGCGGCCACTTTTTTGGCCAGAGCTGCATCGAGCGCTGGGTCAAGACGAGCAAGACGTGTCCGATCTGCAACCGGGTCGTGAAGCGCAACGACGTGCGCATCCACTTTACCGATACGATCGCGGCCGTCGACAATGGCCGCCAGGAAGAGTACAACCAAAAGTACTTGGCCGAAAAACAAGCGCGCATGCAGGTACAGGCCCGCAAGACGACCACGACATAGACGATAGAGCTGTATATGCAATAGGCCGAAATGGACGTCGCGCGGCTCAAGCTGCAGGTCACGACGACCACGCAAGAGATCGAGACGCAAAAACAGCGCATCATGGAACTGCTGGCCGAGAACTCGCGGCTCAAAACCGCACCAGTCGTTCTCTCAGACGACAGTGACGGCGACGACGATGACGAGAAGGAAGAGGACGAGATGAATGCCGCTGCACGGCTCGAGTACATGCGCGTGACCGACGGGCCGATTCCTTGTATTGAAGCCCGCGTCTGCGGCTTCTCGTCAACCTGTGACATGGTCTGCATTGGCACGCGAACGCATGTAGCCAATGACGATGGCGCCCAGCATGGGTTGCTCCAGGTCCCCACCGATCGCTTGAGTGACCGAGAGACGATGACGGCTTCTTTATTAGGTGAGCACGCTGGATGTGCACCACCGTGTGTCGATTCCGTTGCACAAGTCGCCTGTCCGCGACCTCGGCTTCTCACACGACGACGCTCTTGTCGCGACCACAGCCTTTGACGCCAAGCTCCTCCTCGTACACACGTCTTCTTCTTCTCCTTGCCAAGGACTCTGAAATGTCCTGTCTAGACTAGTACGAAGTCCCACACGTGTGTGCTCAAGTACAACCTTCCGTTTCCTGGCTGGTCGTGCACGTGGGATGTGGCCAACCCGTTTCTGGTACGAATTGTCTCGACTGGTTACGAACGAGAATTAATGATGCGACGGGCGTGGATGTAGATTTACTGCGGCCACCACAATGACCAGATCTCGGTTTTTGATATTCGGCGCACCGGGTCGCCTGTCCAGAGTCTGGCCCACCAGCTGAAGCAGCCCGTGCACTCGATTTGCACCATGCAGCACGGCTCCACCAAGGTCCGTTCACTGTTTTATCTTTTATTTCGACGTAAAGAATGATATATGTAGACCATTGTGGCGGCGACGTTCACTGGCGTGTCCATGTGGCACGCCTCGGACGGTGTCACGGTACCGACTGACCCGAGCTTGAACATGGAAGTCAAAAATTGCTTTTCGATGGGCCACAACCAAGTCCGGCCGACGCAGTTGATCGTCTCGACCCGGACACAACTGCCATCGTCGCCGGCCCAGCACTTTGTCTTGTCGGTGCAACAGACCAACAACCAGCTACAGACTGTGTCCGATGCGGTCGTTCAGGTACCTTTTCGGTCTGTAAAATCTCAACAAAAAAATGACGTGGCGTAGGGCCACCGCACGCCGTCGGCGCTGTCTCGGTCGGCCATGTGGCACCTGCCGCATCAAGGCAGCTCCGTGGTCGCGTCAGCCGACGAGGATTCGCACCAGTTGTGGCTCTGGGAAACAACGTCTGGTAACGTTGTGCGCAAGCTGGACCCGAAGTTGCCGTCGTCGATCGTCGATGTTCAGCACGGGGTCGTCCCGAACGTCGCGGCCGAGCAAGGCTGGCTCGCCGTCATGAGCAAGGAGGCGCTCGTCCTGTACAAGTCGGCGGCGTCGGCCCCTAGCACCCAGCGCACCTCGTCGATGTCATTCTTTAGTCCAATCGCTTCCCAAGGTCAGGCCACCCAGCGAGCGAGGGCATAAAGTGATGATGATTTTTGTTTGCTTTCTTCAACTGTCATGCTGCCACGTGGGATCGCGCTTTTGATTGGCGGAATGGTGTTTTACACGGTGGTATTTGTGTGTGTGTGAAATGTATTTTTCACGTGTGTGCCAGTTACTAAATGTGGCACGTTGGTCGATAGATGTGGCACATTGGCAGATAAATTTGGCACGGGCGCCCGATGACAGCCACCGTCGTCTTTGCATGGGGCTCTGGTGGCTGCCACAGCATACTGCAACCGCGCTCATGGTCCAGTAGGCTCGGATGGACAGCTCGGCCTTGGCGACAGCGTGGACCACGCCGAGCCGCGGCCGCTTGACCTCGGCGCCTTGCGCAGCCCGTTGGCGCTGGCCACGGGCGGCTGCCATAGCGCTGGTACGGCGTCGGTTCTATCTCGGCGCTCGTGCTCGACGCTCTCGTAGCTGTGGATGCAACTGGCGCGCTGTACATGTGGGGCAGCAACGCCCACGCCCAGCTGCATCTCGAGGCACCGACGGCGCATGCGCCTGCACAGATCGCGATCGAGGTAGGCGTGGCGTCTCGACTGTGTCCATTGACGTCTGAACGTGTAGCCGCCCGTCACGCTTGTGCGCTGCGGCTGGTCGCATACCATCGCTGTTGCCACGCACGCCGATGGTCTCTCGGCGGTCTATAGCTGGGGTAGCAACCAGCACGACCAGCTCGGCCAGACAACGGCGCCAGGTAGGCTCTGGAAGCAGCTGCAGAAGAGCACGTTCGAATGCGTACGTAGACAAAGCAACCCTCGTGCAACAGCCACTGCGCTTTCCCACGCCTGTGCTGGCCGTTGCCAGTGTCGCGAGTGGCTGGAAGCACTCGCTCCTTGCGACCAGCGATGGTCGAGTACGCCTCCTCGCTCCTCGAGTGCTGCTGACATGGCGTACGTAGGTGTTTGCCTGGGGCCATGGCCGGTCGGGCGAGCTCGGACTTGGGCCCGCGACGCTTCGTGCACCAACACCGACAGTGGTGCCAATCGACGGTGCCGTCGCAGCGGTCTACTGCGGGTGGCAGCATTCGGTGTTCCACTTGACGTCCAAGGGTCTTGCCGTTGCTGGCAGCAACCGACACGGGCAGCTCGGGCTTCGCAACGAGGTGCGTTGACCGGAATCCAGCAATGTGCGAAAATCTGGAAAATCTGAAAAAAAAACGACTCACCCAAAAAGCAATAGCGTCGCCAGCAGGTCTTTGAACCCACGCCGATCCTCGAGGCCGATGTCGCTGCGCCCTTTCGCTGTGACCTCGTCGCTGTCGGGTGGCATCATGTCGTGGGCGTTCGCGACGGCGCCGTCTTCTCGTGGGGCAAAGGCTCGTTCGGTCAGCTCGGTAGGTTGCCTCCCTCGTCTTTTCCAGCGGCGTGGATGAACTTGCTACTGTAGGCCATGGCGGTGTCGACGCAGAGCGTACACCCCGCCGCCTGGTGATGGACGAGCGCATCGACCACGTGGCGTGTGGCTCGGAGCACTCACTTCTTGGTACGTCGATCGAGGAAGCGTCTCTCACCTCATGTCGCCTCTACGACTAGTGGCAGCGAGCGGCCGACTCTACTCGTGCGGCTGGGGCGAACATGGGAATCTGGGGCACGGCGACACGCAGAGCGTAGCGAGGCCGACGGCCATTGCGTACTTTGACATGCATCGCCTGCGTGTGTTCTCGGCGGTGGCGGCCGGCGCGACCTCGTTTGCCATGGCGACGAGCCAGCGCACTTGATTATCGATAGCCTCACTATTACGAGAGGCTAGAAGTTAAGAAACCCCAAGGCCGCTAGAGAGACTGGTGCTACCAGTTCGTAGTGTAGAGATGCTACGACGGCTGCACACTTGCGCTTCTCGCAACGTGAGACTCGAATGAATCCGTGATCTTTAGCCCACGCTTGCTGGCGACCAGGACCGGCCATGTTGCTGCCTTGCCCGCGTGCGCCTTGTCTCTGAGCCGTCAACGTCAACAGGCGTTGTCTCTGGCACGACGCCATCGTCCTCGCCGTCGCCTAGTACCTTGCCTCTCTACTCACTACTGCGATCAACGAGCGCGGGCGCTTGGCGCATGCAGGTCATCGTTATCGTGGCTGCGTCATGGCCGGTCGCCAGCCACGTCAACGGTCGCATGACATGGCAGCGCCTGTCGCAGAGCACCCCGGGGCACAAGAAAATGCATCTGCTCCACATGTGTTGACGTATCCGGTGTACGTGCCCCGGTAATTCCAGGTGGTGGAATCTTGCATTTTCGAGATTGCACCAAGTCGCATGCTGGCGTACGTCTTCGTCGCCGGCCTCGCGTACGTGGCGCTGCGGCTCTACCTCACGCCCCGCAAGATCCTCATCAACTGGGTCGCCAACTCGCACCTGTACTACTACTTCCACCTGCGCCAGGTGCGGCAGCGTCATGCGACGCCGGGCTACAAGGGCACGTCGCACGAAGCCGCCGCCTTGGATGGCCACGCGGCCATCGTCACGGCGCCCTTCCTCGACGACAACTACGCCTACCTGCTCATTGACAAGGCGTCGGGCGACTGCGCGCTCGTGGATCCCGCCGACCCGTACGCGCTGCTTGACGTCTGGCGCGAGGTCGTCCTACGCTATCGCAATGACCATCGCATCACCTTGCGCCTCAAGTACATCTTGACGACGCACAAGCACTTTGACCACGCGGGCGGCAACAAGATCCTCGCGGCCGAGTTTCCCGACGTCGTTGTCGTCGGTGGCATCCTCGACAACGTCCTCGGCGCGACCAAGCTCACGTGGCATAAGGATGTGCTCATGCTTGGCAGCCTCCGCATCGAGACGCTGGCGCTGCCGTGCCATACCATCGTCCGTCCTTCGCTGCTTGCGATTCCGTTGATGAGTGTGAGGATGTGTACTAGGGCCATGTCGGGTATTATGTCACGGCGCCGGGCAAGTCCAAGGACGGCTGTGTCTTTACCGGCGATACATGTGCTTTGGATTCGTCTCTGGAACTCGATCGTCTCATGCTCTTGCTCATATAGTGTTTGTGGCCGGGACGGGGCGATTCTTTGAAGGCAACGGCGACCAGGTAGACGCAAAAGATGCGCTTCAGGCATGGAGGATGGACGATTTGGTAGATGTACCGCAACCTGCATGTGGTGCTGGGCGGTCTTCCCCAGACGACTACGGTATATGGCGGCCACGAGTACACGCTGGAGAACCTTGCATTTGCGCTGTTTGTCGAGCCAGAGAACGAAGCCGTCAAGGCCAAGGTTGTCTTCTCGCATCCTCTTTTGATGGATTGAGGGTGGCTCAAGGCAAGGGCGTAGATCGAGTGGGCGATTGAGCAGCGCAAGCAGCGACTGCCGACGGTCCCGTCGACGCTCGCAGACGAGCGGGCGACGAATCCGTTCCTGCGCACCGACGTGCCCGCCGTCGCCCAAGCGATAGCAACCCATCATGTACGTACTCCACCTAGTGTCCTATATCTCTTCTTTCCTGATGCGATTTTGGATGTAGCATGCCAAGCACCCCAAGCACCCCGGCGAGCTCGTGCAGTGTCTTCGCGAGATGAAGGACGCCGACGTGCATGTCAAGGAGATGGCAGCGATCGATGCGTAGGACCTTTATACGTGGATGGTGGATGAGACGCTCAGAATGTTGTATGTACTAGACGCTTCTAAGGTTTTGAAAATGGAGATGCGTGGCCGATCCAAGTGGTCACCATGCTACTCGTTTCAGTGAAAAACAAACGATTCGTCGTACTTTCTACTCGCTCTGCATCGCTGCTATTAGTTGAAGGTACTGCAGTCCCCATTGACTCGTTGCCATCGAGCGGCAACTCAACACCTCGTTTGCCGGGCTCGTCCAAAGATGATGCTTCAGAAAGGCAAACATGACGCCTGGCCATCGGTGCGCTAGATACCGAGCCACTGTCCGCGACGGGCTGCTTGTCGGCGAGTGTGGCATCCAGCGATCGATGCGTACGACCTGCTACATACATTGTACTGGACGGCGAACAGGTGCCACGTCCTTTATGGCGTGGGGTGTCGACAGTTCAAGGTGCTCCCGACTACAGTCTGTGCCATCGACAAGGTCGCTTGCCACTGACGCGCGTTTGAACGGACGAAGGAAGCAATTGGCGGTGAGGCGTCCAGGTCCGAGCTCGTGCGTAGTGGACGCAAGGCGAGACTGTGGAAGGGCTTGGTGGCACCTCGACCTCGGACAGCACCATCGTAGTTTCAACCTCAAGAAACATCGCGCTCGCGATCAGCCCACCCTCGCTCGCTCCTTCTTCTTCATGGCCCACACATCATGCTGCGCTGCGTCTCCTTGGGCCCATCTCTCACGCAGAGCAGTGTCGTTGCTGGACTTGAACTCGCGGTTGGCCGCATCAACGCGACAACTTTTGGGGTCTGGTATGCGCCTAGGTCATGAATCCTGCTAGCAACCTCGACCACAGACACTGCGAGCCTGGATCATGATGGCACTGATCGGCCAGCCGGGCAGACCTCCAACATGACCGACGTGTACCAAGCTGGAGGCCAGAACGCCAAGGGCCTCACAAAACGCAATCATGTGCATGCAAGTGGACTGTATCATCAACGTCATGTCAATGGCAAGGAGTCGCTAGCCGCGCCACTCTACTCGTCGTCCTCATCGCTCTCTTCCTCTTCGGCGTTCTCGAGCCAGTCGATGAAGGGTGTCAGCGCCTTCTTGAGCGCAATTGCATGGGCGTCCGTGACTTCGTAGTGCGCGTAGTTCTTACGCGTCTCGTCGACCGACCACGAAAGGATCGTGTCTTCGGCCAGAACATCCTCGTCGTACAGCAGCTTGAGAATCACGGGGAACGAGTGGAGGAGCGCGGGGACCTTGACCGCGCAAAAGTGCTCGGTGAGCGCAATGAGCTGGAACTGGAGGCGCTCCGAGTCGACGAGCTTCTCGAGCACGCGCGCGTACTTGGCAATCTCGTTGACGGCGAGAATCTGCGCCGTAAAGGCGGCGCCAAAGAAGATGGCCAAGCGGTCGCCGACCAGCAGCGCCGCATTCGTCTGCTGCTTGACGACCTCGTCCAAGATGGCCGCGTCCGACCGCGGCGACGACAAGAAGGCCGTCAGCGACTCGACAGCCGACTCGATCGCGCCGTCGTCGTCGACGTTGAGGTTCTCGAGGGCCGCCGCCGCGGCAAGGTCGGCCGCCGCCTGCTCGGCCGCGTTGGCTGCCATGGCCGCATGCGCCGCTGCTTCAATGGCTTCGGCTTCGCGCGCGG